CCAACCAGCTACTGATCCACTCACTCGTCCTACCCTGGATCCCGTGCGCCTCCAGTTTAACCCGCAACCTCTTGTGAGGAACGGTATCGGAAGGATTCAGGAGTCAGTCACTATACACCCTGAACCTTTTAATCACTATTATAACATCAACAGAGTAATTTTACAATATTAAGAACCACGTAAATATGGAGACAATGCACTTCTCACGTCCTGGGGTGTATTGAAGGAAGTCAGGACGAGTATGCCCCTCAAGAAGGGAAGGCTTGTCTCTGGAAGGCGTGTAGTGCTCGTCTTCTCCTGCACAACTGTTCTGGGTGTCCGCCCAGTCTGGAATCCTCAGACACAACTTCTCCGTGTAACTGTCTGGCGTGGAATCCCCCTAGTGCGGCTTCGGACCCCTTTTAAAGCTTGTTCTTGCCCTCGGGCTTATTTCAAGCCCATCACACAGCTATGAAAGATTTCCAGCGAGATCGACTCCTTAGAAGCTATCAATAGAAAATTCATCAATGTACATAAATGTACAATGCACATTTATGCCCACACGCCTTTACAAGTATAAAGGAATCGCAATCACTACGTTTTGAATAGGGTTTTCATTTTATTAATCAGAATCTATATTTTAATGTGGTGGATAGCCCCTCCTAAACTGGCATCAAATTTATGATTTTTCTTTTTGTCATTAAATCTGTGGATTGACCCAAATGCGAGAGCATGCCATATACACGCGTATTCCCTTGCATTCGAACGCATGTGGACGCATGCAGACACGCAAGCCGCACGCGTGTCAAAATCGCACGCGTCACATGCTAAGTGTGAAACGGTCTGAAGTGATGTGGTGGTGGACCATTGCCGCTGACCACACTCGGCACGAGCGCAGCCAGCCAGAGGGGAACTCACCGATCCCCCGTCGCAGGAGCATTCGAACCGTGCAGCGTTTGAGTTTCGACCAATGAGTCACGTGCCTGTTCACAGAATGACGACAGGCACTTCGAGCGCCTCATCCGAGTGTCAAACAGGTAAGATTACTGCAGTAATCTTTGTCGTGCGCATCATGTCAGCCATTCTGTATGAAACACAAAACTGAATTTTGACGCAAGCGCCCGTTCAGTTCTTGCGGCACTTCCTTGCCGCTGTCAAGCTCTGAATCTCCTGTATTTCAAGAACCAGGGAATGGATATCGTTGTAACTTTGCACGCATGTGCTCATTTGATGTATTAGTAAGCCCACAAAGGCACATAGCAATAGCCTGAATGTATTACGAGTGGCTAAAAATTGAAAAATGTTCTAATTTTTTTTTTTGGGACAGTGTATATCATGAGCGTCGCGCGATATTCAAGAGTAGTGGATCGTCTATGGAAGCATGGTAGGCCCAGACCTAATCTACCTCCATTAGTGATGAGCAGTAGAATTGCTTCTTCCATACCACTATACATAGCGACAAAACGGAATATTCATGTGATCATCGCTAAGGCTAGGTCAATATTGACCCCATCAGGGAATTAAAGTATGCCAATTTGTGACCTCTGCAGTGACAAATTAACAAATAATTGTTAAAATGGAGATTAATTTATTATAGAAATGAAATATGATGTCTAAAATAATAATTGGACGGCTATTCCTAAAGAGGCCAAAAGTGCATCTATGAATGACATCCCTGTTCTAACATGGCTGCACACATTGGCTTGTTTGGGGACGACGTCTAAACGGTAATGCCATCATATGTGCTGAAAATTCCTTGAGGTTCAGACGACAAGAACTCTGCTACTTTTTCGGCCTAAGGATGGAATATTGTACTCAGAAGACGGTGTATGACGTATTCCAGGTGGTATGAGTACTCGTGTTACCATGATCCAGATTTTTGCTCGATGAGAACTGGCTAGTTTTGAATTCGGAGGGTTCGAATGTGGCTGGAGGTCATTGGCCAAATGTTTCTCACTCATCTGCAAATGGGACTTCGTGCCTTTGTCTTACTAGCCTCCAAAATATGGGGGTTCATGTGCTACGTACTCAAGAAACGGGGACGAGCGGTGAGTGTATGGCTAACGTAACGTTAGCCCCCTCATAATATTTGGAAAGGGCCATCAAAGGTTTAGCTAGACCAAAACTGTGATGTTGTAAATGATGCCTAAAAACTTAGGTAATTATGTCTCGCATCGACCTAATGTTTGGTTTTGGTCTCTTTTTAGGTAATTATGTCTCGCATCGACCTAACGTTTGGTTTTGGTCTCTACCAGCAACCTTGGTAGGGTTGCCACCCGTTCCTAATTAGTATGGGCAATAAATATTTCAGATGAAATGTCCATACTGCCAACTGGTCCTAATATGGACACTATTTTGTCCATATTTTGAAATTAAGATTTTTATGTTGCACAATGAAGCTTAATAGGAGCTAATATTATTTTTCCATAAGTCAAAAGCAGTAGGCCACACTCAGTATTGACACCTTGGCTTAAGGTGGCTGTGGGTATATTTCAAATATTTGTCCATATTTTGTTAAATTCAAAGGTGGCAACACTAACACTAGGTTAGCTTAGAATGTTGATTATGGACTTCCAAAGGTCACGTAACACCAACCAGACAGCAGTGGAGCTCACATGGAATGACAGTATAAGGAGAATTGGGCATTGGATCAGTATGACCATGCAGACGATGATGTGCCAAAATGAGCCTTGTGATTGCTCCACTGTCATGTCAGGTGCCACCACAGTGAATATTTAAGCCACCAGAACAGATATAGTCACCTCTCGATAACTTGAATCTCTTTGACTCAAACTTTCTCTAACTCGAAGTTACTGGCTTTCCCAGAGATAGTCTCATTAGGACTATGCATTTTCCCCGCTATGACTCAAACTGTGCAAAGACGAATTCCCTAATAATTCTAAGTTTATTGCTCTACTTTTTTTTTTTTTTCTGAGCAAGTACGTGATTGAACTTTACATCAATCTAACCACACTTCCTGCAGACTTGGTTATCATGAGAATGCAATGGTTCATGTCCTTGGTTTCTACTCTAATAAGTTGGGAAAGTCAAAGCTATGATGATTGATGAGGTCTCTGCACCTACACCTTATCAGCACTGCATCCTGCTGTTGACCAGGCAGTCAGTGACCTTGAACCTTGTTGTCAACCATGGCTAAAATTTAATACCATTGAAATTTGCAGAGCTTTATTAGGTCATGTGTTGTTTGGCACAAGACTTTCAATGCAATCACACATTTGAAAAACATAGTTGAGCATGAAGATGCAGTGAAAAAATGCAAGATCTCCTGACTGACAAGTGATTATGTTAAAATGAGTAGGTGTTACATGTTTTGTAATACTGTATGCATGTATATAATCTAATAAACCTCCTTAACTCAACTTTTCCTTTCCTCAAATTTCTCTGGAAGTAGTCTAGAGTTGACTGCACTGGGAATTTGCTTCATTCCTCCAAAAATGCGCTGTGCTGCTTGATAGAATTTCCGCCAACCTTGGAGCTATTCTCATCACCAATAAACCCCAAATTTAGCCATTTCCATTATTGCCTGGACTGTATTTTATGCAGTTAGGCACTGTTTCTCAATCTTTACATCACAAAGAAGTGACAACATGGTAATGTCAGTTGATGGATAGGTGACTGAGGAATTGTAGGGTGCATGACTCAATGGTAATACTATCACCACATTTTATTTGTTAATGAACATCAGCTTCTGCATTGCTACATGAGTTCAGCATCCAATTTCCCCTGTCTTCTATACCAGTGTTAGTCCCCTCATCTATCAGACTTCCATTCCACAGTGGCACAGGCAATAATAGGCCAAAAATTTGGTATCTCAGATTTGTCCCAAAATATTTTCCATAAAAATAGGAACCTGGACTCATGGAAATTTAATAATATTTTGTAGAGGGAGCAAACAAAAATACAATTTTGATACTGTGAAATTGACAACATGGAAAATTTCTTCAATATTGCAAAAAATTGACATTTTTGAAAATTGTGAACCATGAAAGACTGTTGATCTCAATTCGGCTTATACCCCTGAGTGAGGTAATTTCCTAGTAAAAATGATGCATCATTTGCAGCTGGTGGTCTCATCCCCTGTAAGTCACAAGGGGGTAATTTCAGGGGTGACTGAAAAATTTGAACTTTTCTGGTTTTACAGGGCTGTATCTTTTTTGGCATTAGATGGCACAATTCTGCTTCTTTATGGAGTTGGTACTTGTATTAAGAATAAAACTGTGGGAAGTTTATTTTCAGCAAGTTGTAGCAACATAAATGGCAAGAGATTTTCATGTGTTACATAAATGGCTACTTCTAGCATTATGAACAAAGTAGCCCATAAGATTTACTTGGCTGCAGGAAAAAGTAAATCTGTGGATTTGTGAGGTTGATTTTGCAAAGATTTGCGGTTCAAATCAGTGAAAAATTGTATACTTCCTTGAAAGACGCTGTGTGATGTCTTGATTGAAGATTTCTTCCGGTGCTACCCTACTATTGCCTGACCCCCCCACACAGCCCACTGTGCATCCCCTTGTCAGGCTCTCATCTTTCCCTTCATTCCCTATGCCTCTGATAATTGAATCCAAGATATTATGACTTAATGTGAAAAAGCTGATGGGATGTGCAAACAAGGCACTTCCACATGTTGACTTACCTTGAAGCCTAGCTTCAGTTATTAATTGAAACCTCACTCATTTATTCCTATATGCCTCCAGGATTATATGCCTGAATATCATAGCTACATTTTGATTGGTATTGGAAGGGCTTTGCATCTGAAGGCAATGCAAATGCTCTAAGTCAAGGATATGCAACCTTTATTAGCAGTGGGCCACATGGAAATGTCTGACTCTTCATGCAGACTATAGAATAAAAAGAAAAGGCTTCTCTCTTTTGCTCTCAGGGCATACGAGGGCATAAGGTTGTGCTGATTGACTGATGACCCTTACTTCCAATGCCCAAAAATAGCCTTTGACATGGAGAACCTCCTTTCTTGTGCCCGCATGAGGAATAATTAGGGGAAGGAAGTGAAAAGACTCAGTCTATTTCTGGTTACTAAAGGATGATCAAAGTTGTGATGAGCCTTGGGCCACAAATAAACTTATATATCTCTTATTATGCCTGACTGGGCCACAAGAAGCAGATCCACAGGCCACATGTGGCCCATGGACTATGGGTTGCACATCCCTACTCTAAATTATATTTGAATAGTATTCTGATTATTGTAGATATTCAATGCAAATTCCTCCCTTGTCACCCCAGTCAATGGGTTCCTAATCTCTGCCACCCTCTGCCTACAGTCAGGTTATGTTATAACCCTGGGTGTGGGATAGATAGCAGAGGAGATATATGAAGGAAGAAATAAAGGCCTAAACTATCATAGTTTAAAAAGATGTTGCCATCATGCATTTTTTAAATATTGCTTTCAGATTGTGCAATATCAAACGGTGAAGTATCAAGTGTATCCACTGTCACCACTTTCAAAACATCGCCTCAGTGAGTTTGCAGTCTTCGTGCTCAGAAAATTTTCTCCAACTACTTCAGGCCTAGGATTTTAGCTCTAATACTGTCAAGTGATATAGCTGATGGCCTTGCAATTGACAGTAAGTAATCCTTTACAGGCCTAGTACGTCGAAAGATCATGATCCTGGATCTGGATGAGACTTTGATCCACTCACATCATGATGGAGTAATCAGGCAGACAGTAAAGCCTGGGACCCCTCCAGACTTTGTCCTCAGAGTGGTTATTGACAGGCATCCTGTCCGGTTCTTTGTGCACAAGAGGCCACATGTGGATTTCTTCCTTGATATCGTAAGTTGTATGATATATGACTTGTATAAGTAACCTAACTCACTAGAGCCAGTCAAATGAAATCAGCAATGAATTTATCCTTTATTGTGCTAGTAGCATTTATTGAAAATACTCCGTGGGCATTGAGATGCTTGTCCCATCACTTGCCCTGATTTTTTATGGTTCTGGTGTAAAACAAAATCGGTATCTGGTGGTACCATGTTTTCATTACCTCTACCACATCATTGTTTGAGTGGTATCTTTAGCCCCTCAATGCCCTCTTTGCAGTATTTAATCCCAAAGTGACACCAGATTTCATCATGTCATGGTTCTGGCCCTAATGCTGTCCCTTTGGCATGGTAGCACTGGAGATGTGTTACAAAGGCCCATGCAAATATTCTTCTGGTTTTTGGTCAGACACTTTGGTATCCATTTTATACCCACCAAATGAAATTGGAGGTGATCTTGGATGATTGTGTGTATAGACCCATGGCTAATCCCCACTTCTACTGCTATGGCATCAAGTAATATGCCTGTTTCCTCTAATCACCTCATCCACTTTTGTGATACTGCCATCTGTGATGACACATTAGCTTGTCTGGATCTGGGTTTGTCTCTAAAGCAAAAGCTTCTGCCACAAAACATTTTGCTCCATTCATATATTCATATGGGACAAACATGTCTCACCATCAACAGCAACTAATCTATGAAGGGGATATCAAGTGGTTTTGCACCTTCTGCACAAAAAAACTGTATCACAACCCTCTGACGTTCCTTGGACACCCCTTCAATAGCCATCTTTACCCAGTTACAGTAGATGTAATCTTTCACAAGCAGTGGCGCCAATTATATTTTCGTTGTTACACCAGTGTATGGTAGGTATGATATATATTTGATGCCATGGAGATGCATCATTTGTATCATTTTTGGGACAAGTTTAGCTGGTTTCAGTTGACTGGCCCTAGGATCTCAACGTTGGTTGGTTTATCATTAGAGACACTGAAAAATCTAACTCCATTATGTAGTGATGGCAAATTTAAACTACTTTAATCCCACCTATGTTTATAATCAGCCTAAAACTACACACACTTTTTGCATGTTTTGAATTCATTTGTCTTATTTTCCATGTCATTAGTTCAATCCAAACAATAAAAGAAACTTCTAATTCTGAGGGATTTTTTACTAGTATGTAATGCCTTCACATGTCAAATTCCCATGGCTTTTTTTTTTTTAGTATAAAAGTGTCATATGGGTATGACTGTTTCAGAGAGCTCCAGTAACTGTGTATAACTGTAGTTCTTCTCATCCATTGGTATTGGAATCCATTGAAAAGGTGTTGAATTTATAAAAAAATGTATAACCAAAAACCTGTTTCTTGAATTCATCTTTTCAGTGATTCTTCTGTTGCCTCACTCAGTCTGTAATTGTATTCTTAATCTTAGGAATATTGAATATGAACATTCAAGGATGTTCACCCTGTTGCAAGGCTTGAAAGTCTTGAATAAGTGAGGATAATTACCCCAATTGTCATTATAAAGTCAGCCAAGGTCATCATGATCCCCGGATCAGAAGGCATTGCAGAAGTTCAGGCCTAAGATTTTCACAGATGGATCATCCATTGTCATGAACAGCTTATAGTCTTAAGCTTAATGAACTACCTTTTTAGCACACATTTCTGATGTTGAGCCATAACTGGAAGTCATCATTATATCTGCAATTAACTCAGTATTAATTGTTTATGCAGACCATGAAAAGAAGTTCCACTGTGTGGAGCAAGACAGGAAGGCATGAGAGGTTGTCAAAAATTGAGATGGGATGGAAAGAGACTATTCTGAACATGAATGAGTACCACTCCAAATGCATTGTAAATCATCCTTTTGTCTCATGGGATGGGTTGCTGGCAGGACAGAAATGGTTGGCATGGACAAGAGGCATACCCTTGAGGCACAAGTTTTAAAATCTTTCTTGGCAAGTGGTCAAAATTGTGATAGAGACTTGGTAGGGGTTAAGTAAAAGAATTGTGGAACAAAAAAATGTTCAGTTTTCTAGTACTGAATATAGGGTGTTTACAGTTGGCAATCTCCATGGTATGAAATCATGCAACACATTCCAACTGTACATTCAGAGCACATCCATTTGGGATGATGTGGATCAGTTTTAGTGCTACAGAACAGAAATGTAAAAAAAACTCACCAAATATCCTGAAAGAGGTGCCAGACTCCAAAAAATTTCCTTGCCTTAAATGGCTATATGGTTATATCTAACTTTCCTGTCACCTGTCACATCTCTTGCTTTGTTTACTCAAGTGGAAGATTTTCTGCATGCTATATGGCTCTTAAGTGATACAAAGGGAAAGGAACTTTTAAACTATTTCCAATGAAAGCCAAGGAAAAAAATAAGTAGAGGGTGGTTTCCCCATGGAACCACATCATCACAAAGAGTTAATATTTCTCAAAGGGTCAAATCTCACACTAGCATATACTGACTGAAGGTTGAGGTTCATTCAAACTCAACAATTTCATTCCATTTGGTCCACATTAATCATGTGTTGTTAAGAATGTTCTATAAGTGTGAAATAGATTTATATTTTCTGCATTATTTCTGATTTAAGGGAAAAAGTCATATTTAATTTTACATTTCTGACATGTTATTGTTTTACAGGTGTCCCAGTGGTATGAGTTGGTGGTTTTCACAGCCAGCATGGAGATCTATGGTGCAGCAGTGGCTGATAAGCTTGACAACAACCGTGGCATCCTTAGTCGGCGATATTACCGCCAGCACTGTACATTTGACTATGGCAGTTACACAAAGGACTTGTCTGCCATTTGCCATGACCTGTCAAGTGTCTTCATCCTGGATAATTCTCCAGGAGCTTATAGGGCTTATCCTGGTCAGAAGTCTCAAATTTGTCCTGAATTTAGTTTCCTTCATTTTTTTTATTTGGTTTATAAGGATCTTTCCTTGTTAATGAGAAACTTTTGTTTCCATTTCAGATAATGCCATCCCAATCAAGTCCTGGTTCTCAGATGCAAGAGACACAGCCCTCCTGAGCCTATTGCCAGTGTTGGATGCATTGCGCTTCACACAAGATGTCCGTTCTGTACTGAGTAGAAATCTACACTTGCATAGGCTTTTCTGAATGTGAGAGTCTCTTCCCTCATGTGACTCATGAACATCCCTCCAGTCCTTGACCAAGCTGGGCTTCATGATACTTGACAGATGTGGTGATTGTGACTGTGCATCATCTAGGAACGTGGTCTTGCACCAAGGCTGCTCCTAATGAGATGGATGTTTGAATGGGATGCTCATTCTTTGGAAGTGATAGTACAAGAAGGCACCCTACTATGTGCCAAGGAAGGCACTCTCACTAGACATTTCTCAGCCTTGCTGATTTCCACCAGCATGCTCAAGTGCTGCATTTATAGGAGTTTCTACCCTGTCCCACCTTGCTGGGGAGAAGACATGGCCCAGGGCCAGACTAGAGCAAAGAAAATTTAAGTATTCCCTATGAGGTGCTTTATCATTCAGGGCCCTTCTCCCATCTCTTCCATCCATAATTTGACCTTTGTTTCATTTCAGTGTGTTATTGTCACATGTCTCTTCATTCTTATCCTTCCAATAATGCATCAACTCTGTCATGAGGAGGAAGTGGATTTTTATGTACATGCATTAAAGTGTTTGCAGCATTTTGGGACACCTGCATTGTCTCATGTGTGCACATTTGTCTAAAATCTAGGCAATTATGCGGCATTCTAGAATATATTCAGGTCAAAGTAATTAAAAGCAGACAAATTTATTTGAAAGAATCACCACATGTTATGTGAAGCAAGTAAGTTTCCAGGCTGGCATTCATGCATTTTGACTGATTAACCTCATCTGGTTTTGCTATCCTTGTATTCACAATGCTTGAATTTTGATCCCCCTTCCAAGCAAAGGGTATGTCATTTCTTTGCTCATTTTCCATCTCACCTTTTGCAGTTCTGCTATTGGAATGCTTCTTACATTGTATATTTACCTGTGTCCCCTCTTTCTTGCAAACTTCTCATGTTTGCCATCATGTGGTGATGTGTTCTATATTTACTTACTTATGTAGATATTGCACATATTGATGACTTTCTTGCATAAAAATCCACTCCCTAGCACTGAATGAATCTTCTCTATCAGGAAATCTAGTCATGTTTCTATCTTGCAGCACCTAGTGGATGATTGACTCAAGCATCAGCTTTCATCTCCTCAGGAAATCATAAAAGTTGGGAATGCTTAATGTGAGTGTTGTGGCAAGGCTCAGTGATTTTTAAAATCATCAAGGATGTTTCTAGCTCTTCCGTGTTTGTTCATGTATCACAGTGATACCTCATCATGTGTTTGGGCATTGCTGCAACTATTTTCTTCTCTGGAACATCTGATGATTATGTTCTGTCTTACAGTAGGATTTGATGCTGTTCTTGTGATAGGGTCAGTTTGATAGGTGATAGCTACTGCTAGCTGCTTTATTTTCAAATTTTGTCTTCACAATTCATCATGGATATTGGTGCAGAGAAGCATACAAGTGTGATATAGCCAACGTATGCTACTCTCCTTTAGTTAGCAGAATGTACTGCATGTGAAATTTTTAGGCTTTTCCCATGGAAGAAGTTGAAATGCAATTGGGTTTTTCCCCCACTTTCATTTGCCATTGCCATTTGTTCCATGTGAATATTCTAAAAGTTCACATGATATATATTTTACAGTAAAAAAAAAATTATCATTTCAGCTTGCTATCAGAGTGAGGCTTTTGGGATAGGTTGAAAGCACTTCAAATCAGTGATTCTGTGGGTAGCATGCAGAGGTAACTTTCAGTCATTTTTCAGACTGCTAAGTTAATGCAAGAATCAGATTAAATATTTTCAGACAAAATATTGATATCCCTGCGATGGAATATCTATAGGGTTAATGCTACAGGCAGAAATGTACTGTTTTAGGAGTTGAAATTCAAATATCACATAGTCAAGAAGAATATTACCAAGTTCTCATGTCTCATTTTGGTTGCATTTTTACTGTCTTCCTTTTTGAATAATTCTAATAGGTTTTACATCCCTGGAGTTGTGTAGGCATCAATGTGAATTGTGCTGAGTTGTGATGTTTCTGGTAAGATCCATATAACTGAAAGTTGCTTGTACATTGAAAAAAATTTGTCAGAATGCATAAGTTGTGTGATTAACACAGTGAGAAAAAGGAGAGGAACATATCATCCTTGAGATCCAATGGCTCATTTGAGCCTGTGATTGTAATTTTCAATTCTCTCTTGATTCAAACTTGTCTCCATGGACTGTTTCTTGTACATAAAATATTAGAGAACAGTGCTTGTCTTGTCTCAGTAGAATTTATGAGAAGAGAAATAAAATGTTTCCTATGGAGAATTCTAATTATTTGTCTTGCATTTGAAAGATGGGGATATCACTTGATCATTGGTTTATTGCATGATATAAAATGCCCTTGCTGAGACCAGAAAAACCACAAAAGCTCATTTTTCCCATTCCTACTTTTTAGAATCACTACAGCCAAAGAAGGGTGAGTTGAAGCAAATACTATTGATGCAGTAAAAGAGAAATTCTTGAGACAGTTAAGCTGTTTAACTAAAATTATTCTCAACAGAGACAAGGACTGAAAATATGACAGCAATGTTATCAAAGCCCCTCAAAAATCTCCACGACAATTCAGGCAAAGTCAAATGGAGCTTCAGGATTGGAGATTTATTTCTTAAAACATAAATCATGGCTACAAAATAATGCTCTCAGTTGAAAGGTACCTTTTTGTGGCCACAGCCAATGCAGCTTTTACAAAACAAGCATGAAATAATCCAAGTGAAGAAATTGACTGTTTTGTTCTAAAGGAAAACATGAAGACCATAAGAATGAGACAGACATTTCATCAATTTCAAATTAAATGCAAACGTATGGATAGGTACAAGTCATCATTCTCATACAGGGACATTCAATCACATGGATTCGAGCACTGAATTGGATTGATATCACAAGTGATTTTATGCTGCATTGGACACAGCAAAACCAGTGAATGTGGAACATTTCTGCATGAAGGAAGCTCACAGAAATTGAGATATTAGGCCTTTGAACTGGTAAAAATGAACAATGACCCATGACTTACCTCAACATACATGTTACCCACTATGTACTCAGTTTGGAAGATACATGCTTATTAATGTCACCTAGTTCTCGAGGGCTTCAACCTGCTATGAAATATCTGAATCTGTGACACAATTGGTTTCAGATGCAGTCCTTATTGCTGACCAACTCTGTTCATGTGTCCCATTCTCCTCCAGAGGACTAAACATGCCGTTTTCCTTGATCCCATCAGCATGCCCATTCTCCTTGATTGAATTTATATTTCCTCCCCCTTTTTTAACCTTCTGCCATTCAGGTATTCCTGGATTAGGCATGGATGGAAACTGATGCCTGAGGAAGAGAGAAAGTATAGTAGTATCCCACATGCAAAAAGGGTAAGAGAGTCACTAAATGAAGAGCTTGTGCAGTACCTGCTTAGGAGAAGACCTTTTAGGGAAGCAACTTCTTTCTTCAGGTCTTCCAAAAGATGTTGATGCTTTTGGACTTCAGCTGTGACTGTCAAACGTTCCTTGATCTCTTCCACACTCACTCGCATCTCCAGAAGACTCTGACTCAATGAGTGCAGAAACCTCTCTGTATCTTCAGGGGATGATGAATGTGACATACCCCTTCGTCTGTTTCTTGAGAACGGCCAGTATGGTTTGATGAGCTTTCAAATGACAAGAATTGCAGAGAATTTTATCATCTTGATCCATCACCATCATTAGTAAGGAGACCTAAAATCTATTTTCATCAAGTACAGTCGTCCCTCGCCACTTCGCGCTTCGACTTTCGCGGCTTCACTCTATCGCGGTTTTTTCAAATACCTGTATATTGGGTAATACAAGTGTAATGGTGACTAAAGAGTGTTATTTCATGTCTATTAGAGCCCTCTAGACATGAAATAACACTCTTTAGTCACCATTACACTCGTATTACCCAATATACAGGTATTTGAAAAAACCGCAATAGAGTGAAGCCGCGAAAGTCTAAGCGCGAAGTGGCGAGGGACGACTATACATGTAAATTCAGCACCATAATGTTCTACTCCATTGGGTGTAGCTAATTGAGTAAGTCTATTTTGTTATCAAGTTACTTCTTTGTTGGAATGACATGGAACAGAGAAAAGGTCATTGGAAAATAAATAAGGAACATAAGTCCCTGGAAATTTTTACAAGTAGGTAAGTCGTAGGTAAGTCGAGTATTTAAATAAATTGAGAGGACAATTTCCTGTATACCAAAAATAGACAATATGTCTCAGGTGATTTTTTTTTAAATATAAAATTCAACATCAACACATAT